CGTTTTTATTTTACATCTGTTTCTATTAAAAATCTATTTTTTTTTATGGCCAGTCGAATGGATTCGTTTCAAGGTCCCCGTCTTCAATTATTTTTATAATCATGCATGTGTCACAAGTGGAATCGTGTTCCTGTTGTTACATATTCATGAAGGCATCGTTTGTCGTCATTGAACTGGAGGAGAGTTGAAAGGTCACTAGTCCCACAGACACCCGGGATGGATGGAGGGTGTGGGGAGAGACGCCAAGTGGGTATTAGACCTACTATATTTCGGGAATATCGCACAAATCGTGGACGGGGTAACGGCAGTTCTCTGGTTCATGCTTGAATATAGGTACTAGAAATATGAGATGAGAGAAATTGCTAATGGCAGCTAGAAATGGTCGTTAGTTTCTCGCGGTGGAGGCTGTGTTGTACTGGTTTTACATTTTAATAGATGTGGTCGTTTATTGACTCATTCAATTTTTGTTACTTAAACCACTTCAGTGATTCGTTTTTTGGTGAAACACTTTTTGACTGGCTCAGTACTTTCTGTAGAGCCGATCGGATATTTTAGTATATGTTAATGTTGGGGAGACGGGACTACGTGGTCGGGTGTTAGAGATCTCGACTGCTAGCTCGAATGTCTCGAGGTCGTATCTCAGTCAGGACCTGTGTCTGTATGACGTCCATGAGTCCACCCAGCTCTGATAAGTACTGTACCGGACTCACGTTCGGGAAAGCAAAGGCGGCTGACCACCCCATCCCTTCACAAGCCGAGGTCAAGAAACATATCAACTCTAATTCATCAGTTAGGTCGGAAAGGGGAACTTAACTTTTGCCTTATGTGGAGACGGTAATGGGGTGGAGAGCGACTACCAACGGTTACGTAATGTATGTTTTGACAAATTGAATTGGTCAGTTTCGCTTGGTATGGGAGAGGGGGGGGGGGGTTGACAAATTATTCCGTATTTTTCTATTTAGATAAAATGTTTTAGCCAGATCTAATCGCCATCGCTTCCCCACAAGCTACGAGCTGTAATTTAAACATCACCCCCCTCTCCCTTCTCCCCCCCCCCCCCCCACACCACGTGTCCGATGCGCGGTGTCGGCCAAATGGAACAAGCTCGACCAAAGTCGTAATTTTGACTAACACGATTTTCCCGTGGTCGTCTGATGTGGGTGGTGGCTAGGTTGTAGAGCGGCTGTCAAGTTTGGAGTCGTTGTTTTCAATTTGTTAGTCGGAAGGATTTGTTCGTTGACAGCAATACATAGTTAGCTGGTCCCTCCCTTCATGATCTATCTATGCAGTTATCTATTGATGTATCTATCTATGTATCTATCTGTCTGTCTATCTCTCTGTATGTCCGTTCGTTCGTTCGTTCGTTCGTTCGTCCGTCCATCCATCCATCCATCCATCCATCCATCCATCCATCCATCCATCCATCCATCCATCCATCCATCCATCCATCTATCCATCCATCCATCCATCCATCCATCCATCCATCCATCCATCCAATCTATCTATCCATACAATTATGATTGTGTGTTACTGCAGTGGACGGTTGTATGACTGACTTTTCGTGTTCCTCCCTATGGCCAGGTACTCGATCACAGCTGAGTCGGTTTGTGTCAGCTCCACGACCAATATAACGACTTTCATTAGACTTTGATTTGCATTTGACCTCTTCATACAACCTCGCCGTATAATTTACTATAAGACATTTAACCTTTCTTTTTTTAAACTATTTTAACGTTTAAAAACAAATCTGCAAACCAATTTAAAAAAAATAAAATAAGTTTACATTAATTATCAACTTAAACGTTTTTCTAATACTCTTTTCAACAAAGTACATTTTTGACAGCAACGTATTTTTCCGACCTACAACTTAATGATTACGATTAAAACAACTAAAGCCACCCGACAAGGCCATTTTGTTTCCACTGTTTCATTCTATCCCGCCAGTCGCCTCTACCATTAAATGAACGCCACGCAAGGGACGTAAACAACTGGCTTAATTATCCTTGCATTCCTGCTGTAAAACAGTAACAAAACCAGCCGCCTAACAACATTACCTCCCCTCGTCCGCGCTATACCAATTTGAGTGCTATATAAAAAAGTGATTGTTTTTTTTGTGTGTGTATTTAATTTAATTTTTATTTGGTACAATATTTTGTTAAATAATATCTACCTTGATGTGGCCAATTTGTTTGTGTATACGGCTTTACTATATAATAACGTAATAGATGGTCTTACCTTGGTATTATTAATCCTAGGATGAAATATCAGTAGATACAAATTAACGCTAGTCCGGTTGTGGAGACATGAGAAACTAGAGTCATCTCCCCTGAAGACGTTTGTTGTGTAATCTCTTTAATAAAACCAGAGCAAATGTTCCCCTGCTAGGTTGGTTCGGCCAGGATCGGTTGCGGATGGTGTGATTGAATGGGCAAATAGATGTTGAAATAGGGCGGGAAGATGGAGGAATCAATGGAGGGGTGGGTGGGTGCTGGGTGGTGGTGGTGGGGAGTGAGGGAGGGAGGGGGGTGGAGTATTGATTTGGCGGAGTAGGGGAAGGTTCATGGGCAGTCGTGGGGTTAGACAATACATGAAGTCTGTAAGAGATGGGTGTGGTGGTGGGATGGGGGGGGGGGGGGGGCGTCATGGGCAGTTATCGGATTAGGCAGTTTATGAAATTATTATGGGATAGTAGGGGAGTGAGTAAAATTGTATGATGGTGTAGGGTCCTATTGTGGGCTATGTAGGGTGGTAGTTCTCTATACTGTACTGCTGTTTGTAGGGTATGAAGGGGATGGGGATTTAAAATGTGCACTCTGTTGGGTGGGGATTTTTTTTTTGTATATTAATTTGATATGTAGGGGGATCTACTTGTACAGTGTAGGATATCTATAGGCTATGTTGGGTTTGTTATTTGTAGGCTATGTTAGGGGGAATTAGCAGCAGACTTTGTTGGGTGGTTATCTGTTCTTTGTGTTGGGTGGTTTATCTGTTCTCTAGGGTGGTTTATCTCTTCTCTATGTAGGGTGGTTTATCTCTGTGTAGGGTGGTTTATCTGTTCTTTGTGTAGGGTGGTTTTTCTGTTCTCTGTGTAGGGTGGTTTATCTGGTCTCTATGTAGGGTGGTTTATCTGTTCTCTGTGTAGGGTGGTTTATCTGTTCTCTATGGTGGTTTATCTGTTCTCTATGTAGGGTGGTTTATCTGTTCTCTGTGTAGGGTGGTTTATCTGTTCTCTATGGTGGTTTATCTGTTCTCTATGTAGGGTGGTTTATCTGTTCTCTGTGTAGGGTGGTTTATCTGTTCTCTATGGTGGTTTATCTGTTCTCTATGTAGGGTGGTTTATCTGTTCTCTATGTAGGGTGGTTTATCTGTTCTCTATGTAGGGTGGTTTATCTGTTCTCTGTGTAGGGTGGTTTATCTGTTCTCTATGGTGGTTTATCTGTTCTCTATGTAGGGTGGTTTATCTGTTCTCTATGTAGGGTGGTTTATCTGTTCTCTATGGTGGTTTATCTGTTCTCTATGTAGGGTGGTTTATCTGTTCTCAATGGTGGTTTATCTGTTCTCTATGTAGGGTGGTTTATCTGTTCTCTATGTAGGGTGGTTTATCTGGTCTCTATGTAGGGTGGTTTATCTCTGTGTAGGGTGGTTTATCTGTTCTCTATGTTGGGTGGTTTATCTGTTCTCTATGTTGGGTGGTTTATCTGTTCTCTAGGGTGGTTTATCTGTTCTCTAGGGTGGTTTATCTGTTCTCTATGGTGGTTTATCTGTTCTCTAGGGTGGTTTATCTGTTCTCTATGTAGGGTGGTTTATCTGTTATCTGTGTAGGGTGGTTTATCTGTTCTCTGTGTAGGGTGGTTTATCTGTTCTCTAGGGTGTTTTATATAGGGTGGTTTATCTGTTCTCTATGTTGGGTGGTTTATCTGTTCTCTATGGTGGTTTTTCTGTTCTCTATGTTGTGTGGTTTATCTGTTCTCTATATAGGGTGGATTTTCTGTTCTCTATGGTGGTTTACCTGTTCTCTATATACAGCGGTTTATCTTAAGACTGTGAAGGCTGCTTTATCTGGTCTCCATGTAGTAGTTTATCTGTAGGATGTGTAGGTTTATCTATTCTTTATGTAGGGTGATTTATCTATAGACTGTGTAGGGTGGTTTATCTGTTCTTTATGTAGGGTGATTTATCTATAGGCTGTGTAGGGTGGTTTATCTGCTCTTTGTGTAGGGTGATTTATCTATAGGCTGTGTTGGGTGGTTTATCTAGTAGAGTTGTGTGCCTGTTCTCTAATTTGGGTGGTTTATCTATTCTCTATATAGGGTGGTTTATCTATTCTCTATATAGGGTGGTTTATCAAGTTGGGTGGTGTATCTGTTCTATATGTTAGGTGGTGTATCTGTTCTCTACTTTGCTGTTGAGCTCAGCCATGTTGAGTATCCTCTGGTTACTGCCGTTTTCTCACCTCTGTGTACTGGCATCACCATAGACCTTCATCACTGTGATATTCTTTAGTGCAATCTTGTTAATTTAAATGTCATCTTAACCATTTTCTTCCTCTGGCCTATTAGAGAGCATCTTAATTAAAGCTTAACGACTGGTGTTGAAGCTAGAAAAAAAAAGTTTCTTAAAGGGTTTTTGCTTCTTTTTTTTGCGGAATTGTTAATTAAGCAGTTATGCTTTATGAAGAATCTGCCTTGCCCAAGTTAGATTGCATGCTTCTATTTTTGAAATGAATCTAGAAAAATGTAATTGAGCAGTGATTATATATTTAAAGGGTTGAATGCAGTATATGATTGAGTTATCTAAATGTAAAATATCTTAGATGTTATGCAAGTAGAATGCTATTTTGAAATGAGGTTTTTGATGTGTTGTTTTTACAATTAATACACAGCCCATATAAAGGAACCAACTATAATTATTATTTTGTTTTATTTTATTTAAAAAATTAATACATATACTATAGTAAGGAACCAACTGTAATGAATGCTTTTATTTTGTTTTATTTGCAGCTTGCTTGTTCCAGGTACAATGGTCCAAACCCAGCCACAGTCAAAGCTAAAATCATCAATCTAATCCAAGGTATGTCCTATAATTAGGTGCTATGTCTAGGTACTTTATTACACCACAGTTTATACTTAGGTGCCACATATAGCTAGTTTGTTACACCTCAGTTTACTCTCTCTGTTTTATTATCTGTATATAGTATACATGTGTAAATGGTGGACATGTAAATAATAGTGTTTTGCCAGTTTATATGCATGGATATGTTATAACCCTCTCAATGTATAAGTAATGCTGAGAACCCATTATAGCTGGGTTGGCTCACTGAAATCAGAATAAACAAATCTGAAATACTGATATTACTTGTATTTAAGCCTATAATCTTTGTTATATTATGACTTGCTCTACTGCATAACCGCAGGTCTCCATCCATGTATGTCTAAATAAGCCAATCATCATCAACTTTTCTCTTCCATGCCCAAGACACCAGGGGCGGATAAAGTAAAATTTATTTGTTTCGATTACCTTGGCATACTGGGGCATAGTATGTTTAGCACTATGCCCAGCCACCTTAGTTTCCCTAATGTAAGTTAAGTACTCATCAGAGTAAGTAAACAACTGGTGTATTTATCCTAGTTAGTAGACTCAGGGACATCCTACAGCGTTGAACCAGAAATAAGTGAATGTTTTCCTCGTATAACAAGGTACTTTTAATTTTGTCGAGATACCTTAACAACCAGATTCTTGTTTTCAGAGGGGACATGCTACGTACCCCTGATTAGGAGTGACACAACCGGACCATACGCCATGGTTGGCAACCCGTACACCCCATCCTCCCCCTACAATCTAGTCACTGAAATAGAGGATTCGTTCAATCCTGCGTCAGACGTTGTATTAAAAGACTTCAGGAATATGAAAGTCTGGGCCTACGCTGGCCCTATGTCTCCACAGGAGGTGAGATACACTACTTTCTCAATGTTATTTCAACTTTTTTTTAAACTGCTATTTCAACAATAATGTCCTTCTGATCACTATTTTGACAACAATTTTTGTTCTGATTACTATCTCTACAATTTTTATACAAAAATTGTCTCATCGTTAATTCCATTTATTTTTAGGGTTGCGTTTTCAAATAATATTTTTAATGTGATTACCATTTCTACAAAAACCACAAAATAAAAGCTCATTTACAATTGCTGAATGTGTTTTACAATACTTTTTACCTGTTCCTAATGTCCTTCACATAAGTAGTTTTTTTTTTAGAAATATTTTCTAAACTTAAATATAAACTTTTTACTCATAGACTTGTAGCTCACTAAAAAAAAAAAAAAATTTGAATTACTGTTTAAAATACTTTAATTATTCAAAATAAAAAATTAATAAAAACATTTTATTCTAATAATGTATTTATGACACCTTATGTGTTTTAGAAAAAATACAGCCTTATGATAATCCACAACTAAACAACTTTTCTGTCTTTTTATAGAAATAAATTGTTTGAGTTCTTATTAAAATATTATGTTTAATAAAAAATAAAACTTGAAGTCATTGCTGTAGATAATAATTTGTAACTGAATACAGTTATAATATTGATTCAACCCTTTATATTCAGGCCCAGGATTTTAAACTAGAATGGAAATGCCCAAGAGTAAAAAGACCGGACAAATACAACCGGGAGAATTTAAAGGTCGCAGACAGTGAGAGAGGCTTTGAGCGCTTCGGCAGGTAATCAAAGTAACCCTTGAGTCTGTTTCTTGTCCAGGATCAATATTTCAAGGTGTTTATTTAAGACAGTAATTAGCCCGGAACTGGACTTTGACGCCATGTTACCTAGAGGGTTAATCTCACTCAGAGTGCATGTCTTTACCTTGAAAAGGTTTTTTTACAAATAAGAAAAAAATATCTTTAAAAATATTTTGTTTTATAAGCTTTTGTTGACTTGATTCATATTTATTTTTCATTACTTAGTAAATGTTTGTTTTGATAGTTACTTTCTGGCAAATTGTAGACTTGAAGAGAAAGAATAGAAACGCAGTGAAAGTGGAGGGATGTCAAATTTTTTCTATAATAAAGTGTTTTAATTTTCGTAATTTTATTTTTTTAAATATTTTTTTTGCAAAAAAAAAAAAAAAAATTACAGCTTTGATGAGTATTTTTAAAAATATTTTTATTTGTTGTTTATTATGTTGGTTTAATACAGAGGTTCCCAAATGTTTTTGAGTTGTGACCTCATTGTATAAAAACCAAGTAACCCACGACCTCAAAATAATTAATAAAGAATATTTTTGTTTGGTTTAGTCAGCAAGCTGCCAACCCTCAAAAAACACATTGGGGTCATGACCCATAGATTAGATTGGGAACTCGTTGCTAAATAGTGTAATATTTAAATTAATTATTATTATTATTGAATATTTTCAGAGAACTGGCAGATGCCCATTCAACATCCTGGCAGGAGTACTGGCCGTTTCTTGATGCCTTTGCTGACTTGCGGTCAGAAGATGGTTTGGACAAGTTGGAAATTTTCTTCCAGAAACAGAGGATCCTCATCCTGATGCAGTGTTACCTGCTGCAACAGGCCCATTTTGTGCCCGCCCCACCTTACAAAGTTGGACCAGACTACGTCCTCAGGCACAGCAGCTTTAGCAAGTTTGAGGACAGCGGTGGCGACAACGAGACTTTTTTCTCCGCAGACAGCCTCAGCGATGATGACGACGACAATTTGAACAACACGTCTGGTGATCGGGGCCACACCAGCGGTAAAAAGCCGACCAAGTCTAGTAAAGAATGCGACCTCCACGCCAAGGCTGGTCTGTTGTCCTCCCTCTGGACTGGCCTGACCAGGATCAAAAGTTACCTGTCCCCAAGTACCTCCAGAAGCAACATCAACCATAATGTCAGCAATCGGACAAACCTAGCAGAGGATATGTCCGAATCCGATAGCGGATCAGGCTCAAAGAATTTAAAACCTGAGGAAACTCAGATCAAGGATAGAGATAATCTGTGCGAAGGAAGTTCGGTGGAAGCCGATATTTCTCAACCCGATCCTCAGTCTCAAGACTCGCTGAAATTCCACAGCAGTGATAGTCAACTCACTGAGTCCGTAAAATTCCACAGCACTGATAGCCACCCGACAGAGTCACTGAAATTCCACAGCAGTGATAGCCAGCTCACCGAGTCCCTAAAATTCCAAAGCATTGACAGCCAACTTTCAGATTCCCTAAAATTCCACAGCAGTGATACTCAGCTTTCCGAAACGCTGAAACTGGATCTTCTCCATTTCTCAGGTTCTAATAGTATGTACACCCCGGAGCCATCCAAATCTTGCTCCAAAGTTCTTGACGCTGACGACAGCTCATCGTCCGAGTTGTCGTTTTCATTGAGACATCTTGAACACCAGCCCCTGAAATACTCCCCCGACAGCCCCTCCCACCTAGACAGCTCCCTCTCCCCCAGGCACTGGAAGTATCGGACATCCAAGCCTAACTTTGACAGCCCAGAGAAATCACCCAGGAAAGACCTCCGCTTAAGCCCTGACCTCGACTACACCCGAAAAAGTAAAGACTCATCTGGGAAAAACTTTCACCCGGAAATATCCGCATCGACACCCAACAAACCATCATCCAAACTTAATGACAGTTTTAACTCTAAAATGGACTCTATCTGTAGCAAATTAGAAAATTTCTCAATCGCCACACCCGAAAAGTCGCTGTCATTTAGAACAACATCATCCCTCACAGACAATGACAATTTTGAAACGGCTTTAGAGCCTAGACTGCATATATTTACAGGTAAAATGTTCGCCAAGTTCACATCTGAAATCAACTCTTGGAGGACTCGTTCTAAAAATGAAGAGAGCTCCCCTAACCTAAAAACTCTGTATCCCATCCTGTGCTTGCGCCAGGACTTAGACCAGGAAACTGTGATCGCCGACGTCTTTTTGCCTTTATTAGAGGGAGGCGCCGGGAGGTACAAGCATGCACTGCACGGGCAGGTCTTAGAGGAGCAGGCGCACAAAGAACTGGTGAAACATGTCTGGGTCAACTTTTTGGCATTCTTCCCCACGTCCAATGATGCCAAAAGAATCTGCGGCTTGCTGAAAGATGAGGTCATGACAGCAGTCATAGAAGGGTTGCCTGGAGACAAGGATGCCTTTTTGATTGACAGGTCAGTTGGTTTTAGTTAATAGGTCACTGTCCTGATAGTCTATAATGTCTATTTTGTATGATGGACATTTCAGTTGTCTTTTACATCTGTGTAGGAAAGCCTACATTCAAATTTTTTAATACAATTTAATTCTCAAATGCATGAGTTTGATAGCAATATTTTTATTATTTTGAATCTATAGAGGACAAATGCGGTATGTTCACTATTTTGTGAAATCGATGTACATTTCTACTTATATTGTCAATAATACAAGCTACAATAACAATCATCAATGTCAGAAAAGTAGAATGCATATATTTTATGAATGCTTTACATAATATTTTGCATGATTTTAATATTGAAATGAGATTTATAAGCTTAACATAATATTTTGCATGATTTTAATATTGAAATGAGATTTATAAGCTTATTTTGCATACTGCATTTGTCCTCTATACCCTTGATTTGTTAAAAATTAATTTTTTATATTATCCTGGTTAATAATGATGAAACTTTTTTTAAAAGTTGTCTACCAATGTATCAATAATGCATCTTGAGTGGTATTTTCAAATTAATGACCCATGGCTATTATTGTCTAGAAACGTCAGGTCTGACACCACCAACCTGAAGAAGCTTTACATGGAATGCCAGAATGAGCTGGAGGAGACAGAGAGGAGTGTATGTGTTGAGGTGCGGGTGATCAGGACAGCAACAATTCCCTGCCAAGATATTTATGTTTGTGGGTGAGTTCACTTGTTTTAGTGAATAAACTTTGTTCATATATATTTTTGAAATTTAGATAATTTTTTTTTAATTGTTATAATATTGATTTATTTTCAAAGAACATTAATAACTTTTTATTATTTTTAAAATAAATAATGTATTACTTCCCTTGGGGAAAAATGATACTTGAGGTAAATGTTTTATTACCTCCCTTGGAAAAAAAACATTTAAAATAAGAACTTGTTTTTAAAATATATTTTGTGTTGTAAAACTTGTGGATGTTATCCCAATAGGTGTGTGCCAACAAAAGTTGATGCTGACGTATACAACACTTTGAACCAACAGACTTGTGATTACGTCCATCGTCAGGACCACAGGTTCCCATTGATCCATCAGTGGCTGACACAGATGGAAAAGCCTGGCAAGGATCACATTAACAGGTGAATAGTAGAAATTTGTTTAGATCAATTTTAAACCATCACAGCTGACTCTAATAACTTATAGGCCACTGAAAAAAATTTGCTTTAATAGTCTTGTCGTTTTGGTTTAGTTTTACCTGCACTTTGCCTATAGATTAAATGGCACTAATGTGGTTGTTCCGCTTCTCTCATTAGATTAGTTACAGGTTTATACTTTTAACTTTTTAAATAAATTCCCAAATCACCTTTTAAATAAAGATTCAAATTATACTTTACTATCAGAATTTACTTGTAAAATTGAAAAGAATTAGGGAAAAAGATACAAAAAAACAGAAATGTGTGGAGTTGACAAACGCATAGTAGAAGAATTATAAAATAGATAATCTAACAGTTGAGCATACACTAAAAATTTGTTTAAATGTTTAAACCATTTATTTCCTTTTCTCCATTTGACATAGCCTACCAAGTCCTTCTCGGCTTAGGCGCCTGGAGAGACAAACTCCACTGCTTCCACCCATCAGTCCATTGGCAACAACAGATAAAACCAGAGACCCAGAGAGGGAAATGGCTACCCCTAAAACTAGCAGAGGAAGTCATCCTAAAGAAAACATACCTATTAAGAATTTATTTTCTTAATACACATTTTTTTACTGGGAATTGTTTTTAATCTTTTAAATTTACTTACATATTTGAAATCTTGTAATGTCATTTTTGTTTGAATTGAATGGGTTGTTGGTAATATTTGGTAATTGTGAATCTAATGTCTGTTGGTTTTTTAACCAGTTAGAAATGATAGATAACTCTGGGGTACTTTTCTCTTGGAGGAGTTAATGTTTATCTCCTTTATTGGGATTTTTTCCTAAAATAAACATTTGATTCATAGTTGATCTTTTAATCTGCCTACCTGTATCTACCTGACTTCTCCACTTTGACCTAAATGATTCTCTGTCTGTCCTTTCCCCAAACTTCACTTCATGCCTCTTCTGTATCCATCAGAATTCTCTCATAACCTGATTTCCTGTCTGTCCTTTCTTGATATGTCAGCCCATTCTCTTCACACCTTCTCTTACTCATTAGCGTTCCTGTCTTCTTGATATCTTCTTCTTAATTACTAAGTAATAAAATGAATTAAATTTCTAAGTTTAACACATTTTGTACATACACAATAGAAATTATGTTTTTGAGTGTTGCAATCTTTTTGGTTGGTTTTATTGTAATATATCAGTGTTTTTTTTTTTTAAATAAAGAACATGCAAATACATTCTTTATAAATAAAACAAGGGTTGCTTTAACAACTATTTTAATTTGAAATAATTTTTTATCATCCTTGAAAGTTAATGGTATAAGAATTGATGTTTTTTTTAAATTTAACTTACCTGTGTGTTCAGCACGGTTTATTTTCCCTTTATGCAGTAATGATCTGTTTTAATTATTTTTTTTTATTTATATGTAAGTTCAAATATAAATGTTAGGCAGTTAAATGTTTTGTTAACAGGAGTATGATGCAATGGTTAATATATTGTGCAGCAATGTTCTGAAAACCCTTTTATTTCTGAAGAAACTAAACTGAACCGTTCCTTCAATACTTGTACAACTATTCATTTTGATTTTTTGGCTCTGGGTTTTGCCATTGTCAATATATTTTATGTTGATTACATGTATTATCTTGCAGTGGCCATGTTTGTATGAAAAAGCAATTTTTAAGGTTTCAGTGGATCACTAGTATAGAGTGTATTCTTAGCATTTAGTTATTTTAGTTTAGTGAAATATGACTGTATTTGTAATTTAACTAGCAATATTAAAAAATTATACTTGTATATAAATATATAGACAGAGGAATATTTATTTTAAAATGTAAGTGATTCAATTTTTAAGAAGTATTTTGTAATGTCACTTTTTCCATTCATTATGACCAGAGAAAAAAATAATGGTAATTATAAAATCAGATTTAAATAAAATTAATGTATCCTTTTATTTATAAATTAAAATCAAACATTGATAATGTGCATGTGGTCTATTCTATTTTAGGTAATAAGCAGCGTGTTGACAATTACATTTTTTAATCGCCAAAATCCAACATTTCCTCCTTAAATGTTTTATGATAACCAATATTTACTGTCAATCCATTAAGATGTTGTAGTTTTGAGTAGATCCAAATCATGACTTTAGTCTGTGGTGAATGTGCCACATGGTTGTGATGCTTTAATGTATTCATGTGAATTTATTAGTAAAAACATGTAGTGGGTAATGAAGATGTAGCTGTGTTGTAAAAAAAAAAACTACACCACCTCAATTCAATAAATATTTCTTGTTTTTATAAGTGTCACTTTTATTAGCTCAATTGTTGAAATTAGTTTCCACTCACTGTGCAATATTCACCATAAATATATTTGGTTCTGACTTTGTTTCATTGCCTTATAAAAAAGCACTTGTATTGCCTTGTTACTTTATTTGATTAGTAGATTTGTTGACCAGTATTGAATTTAGGAATATATGCATCAAATGCGACCACATTCAATAATTAAGGAAATAGCATAAAGTTGTTTCATTTTTTTGTCTAAAATAGCCCTGGTAGTTTCACTGCAAATATGGTTTTCTTTTTTCCAGTCTTTAAAATCAAAATAAGTTGTGCAAATCTTGATTTTGTTTTAAGGTTATAGATATATTTTTGTATCATTTTTAAAGGGGTTTAAATCTGCTTATTTGAAGATATTTGGGAAGTTTTGAGATAATTTCTACAGTGGTTGTGGCATCTTGCAGTCTTCCAACTAAAACCACGTTGTAAAGCATCAATTAATACATGCAGGTATAATTCATCAAACTTTAAATAAACAATTTTTTTCTCTGCCTTATTTATGTTCGCTAGAAGCAATTTTTGGTGTTATTTTTTTTAAACAAAGATACCTGTGTATATATGTAACTAATAATTTCTATATATGCATTTCTTCCGAACACTTTTGTGTGCTTGTTGGTGTTGTTAATTTGATTAAAATATCACACTGATTTGTTGAAACAATGAATGATGTCTTGTGCACCAGGGCTTTCAAGAACCACTTTTGAGTAGTTTGTGATAGGGGCAGTAATCCAAGGTTATAACTGGTTTTAAATGAAACTTATGCCAGCTGAAACAGCGCAACTTGTGGGCTGGTGGATTTTTTATTTTTTTTTATTTTAATTTGACCCAATATAATTACACAATATGTAGTGCCTTAACCCTGCTTCATAATTATTGAAGTTTTTATGTAATGATTTCATCATAGAAGTGTCTCAAGATCTTAATGTGAAACAGAGGTTAAACTTTTACCCCAGTGTCTACAAACCAAAGTGGATGTTACCTGATACCCAGCAATTTGGTGTTAACTAAGTAATTAGATTACATCAATACTGTTTTTGTGCTATTTTGCTAATAGCTTTTTTAAGCTAGGTTGTCGTTAAAGAATGATTTTGCAATTACTTTCAAGTAGTTAAAGGTAGAAAAAAATGTGTGTAGTGACACAACAAATCTTAACCTCACAAAATTTTTTTTTAATCTGAAATCTTTCTATGTGTACCATAGAATATTTGTTATCAGTTTTTAAATGTTGTATTAAATGTATACATTAGGAGGCATTGACCTTTTTTGTCTAGTAGGTAATTATTTCAAACATTTTCTTTGTTTAAACTTTAAGATAATCTAAATGTGATGGAAAATAAATGTACTATTTTGCAAATTAAAATGATCATTTTAAAAAGTATACTTTTCACAATTTTATTACAACATGCCACTCATTTTATTAAATAAAAAAACTTTCACTTGCACAATATGCACACCACAATGAACACTTATTTAAAAAATTTCATAGTATTACAAATCAGAACAAGCTAGAACTCTGGAACTAAAGGATGTGGCAACACACGATGAGAAAAAACATTTATCAATCTTAAAAACCAAAGTAAAATGCATGTTTTTTAAACACATTTTATTCTGCACTGAAATCAGTTACAACAGATTATTTTCACAAACATGCATTGTCATCAATACCATATAGAATTCACATTACAATGCGAGTAACAGCTTGTTTAGTATTGACCAATCTTTATAACTTTCACCTTTCTGCAATCTTTTTTCATAACCAATCAATATTAGAACATACTTTCAAAATAATGAGAAGTGTATTGATCTTAAAGCAGAACCTCAGCAATCACACTATGCATTTACTCACACTCTTACTCTAATAAGACTGAAGATTTAAAGTTAAAAAAAAAAAAAAAAACAAATTCAGACAAACACAAGGTTATTCATTTTAAAAAATGGACTGTGTGATAATTACAATAATCCTAAACGCCTTTCCATCATTGCATGTGGTTGTCCCATTACCTCACTGTCAGCGGGGTCTGTAAATTACATTGAATCAATTGAACCAAAATGTATAGGGGCAACTTCTATGCTAGTCTTATTTCTGAGACGTACTCCAGACATGTTGAAAATTCAATAAGACAATACCTTAGAAATGTACTCACTATTTAAAATATCCTCAAACCCAATGTGATCATCAGCTCCTGTTAAACCATCCATCAAGAGATTTGAGCTATGCAGACAAGGTAGTCGCTGCATCTAGAATAAACAACAACATTTTGCCACACATAGTTTGAATACTGAGTCAAACACAACAAATTTGCATTGATGCTGACTAACACTACAAGGCTAAGCACATAACAAATTTACCATTGAAGCTGAGTAGCGCTCCATTTGAAGTTTAAGTGGTGCATGGATACCTTGAGAATTCCTTAACATAGCAAAATCCATTTTCAACTGGTGTTCTTTCCACTGAAATGTTTCATGTCAAGTTTTCAGCATTTAGTTAATGGCAACAAAAAAATCCATACAATTATAGTTATATTAAATTAATTAAAGCTTGAAACAATAGATCTTACATTTTCTTCTGAAGCTTGAAGAGGATGGACAGTCTGAAGTCCTGCACTTGCTCTACTGGCCTGAAGCCTGAAAGAGGAATAGGTTCAAGTAAAGAAAATATATTGCCAAAACCATACATGTATACATTATCATCTACTTAAATGTACACATCATTAATTTTTAAAAACCAAATGAGCATGTTATTCAAAGACTGAATTAAAGATGACTAACTTTGACCTAGATATACCTGATCCTATTAAAATGTGTAACTCACATGTGTTGACCCACTTTTACTTCAAGTTATTTTTTTTTCTTAAGCTATACAGACCTAGATTCAAACACATGTGGATCAAGCTAATGAAGGAGTGATTTTTAATTTCTCAAAACAAAACAGCTATTCAGGTAAACTCAACTGCCTTAGCACTTCTTGAATTAGATTTAGCTTTTTCTATCCAGTAGCCATATGAACAGAAATATTACCTATGTGCAACTTCATGAAGATAACTTCCAACTTACCCATATATCATTGCATCTGGTACTCCATAAGGGCCTTTAGGTAGATCAATAACTTTGCTTGATGTTGGCTCAGGACGAAGGGTTGGGTAGCCACTCTGATAAGGTGAAAGATAAAGTAAAATGACAAAAATTACAAAATATGTTTCAAATTAAACACATTTATTGCAGAAGGTCCTTTTGTCTAAACAGCCTTAATGGGTTTAAAACTCCTAAATGAGAAAAACACTTCATCACCAAGATAGTTAATTATAACATAAAACATTCACTTTCTACACTACACTTTTACATGGGAGAGTAATAATTTTTAGCTACTAACCACAGGTAACTAGAATTGCCCCTACAATGCTATAACTTTAGGGTAATAAATATTATACCTGTTAGCAACCTGTGGGGCTTCCATTTAATAAAATAATCAGTAGTAAACTTCATGTAGAAACATTTTTAATTTTCCGGAATGATAAAATATGCATGGATGGATGTGGAATAAACAGCTTTGAGTTTGAGGATGGTGTTGTTGAGTGGGAGAGCTTATTGCTGTTAACACAAAATTCCTGAGCAATGTGTCCCTAGGCAGATGAGACATTATTTGGGGACATTAACCTATCTAAACTGGAGTGGGGCCCTTTGAGTGATAGATATTTTACAAATAGTTTCCTGTCTGTAAATTCTGCAACTGAAGATGGTACCAAAAGTATTATAATAACATTTGAGAGAGGGATCAAAATGCATGGGTCAACCCTATGATCTCTTCATCTAAAATTCTAATGCCCTGGTATACACCACTAGGATTCCATATCATTATCTCTGGGTGCATCCATTTTGTATCTATCCAGGCAAAGCTGAGACATTTATAAAAACAGAAAGATATCAATCTAAGACACAAGGTTTTATTAGTATAAATTTTCAAAGTTAACATTATAACTCATTCCACATTATGTGAAGTTACCTATCAAAGTCTGAGACAGACTTGGTGCTTTAAGACATGAGAATTAAGCTCTACAAACTAGTGCTAGAGGATGTAGGAAATAAAGATTAGAATGAAAGTAATAAGAAATAATAAAAGCCAATTCATAGGCGTGCCGTTCATAAGCCATTATGAAGATGAAAAGTGAATGCACTGTTTATAATAGCTTAAGCACTGCCTGTAACATGTGACAATCTAGGCCCTTTTACCTCTGTTTCTATTTTTCGACATATGATAAATCTCTATAAGAGTGTGATAAACAAACATATTAACATATAAAACTCAAACCTTCAATCTCTATCAAATATTGGAATTTTACATATTGTACTGTTATTGGTCTTAACATTGAACAGCATACCAATAATAAGTAATCACATGCACCAGGTCACCATGCATTTGCAAAAGCTATGCTGAAGTAACAACCCTTTTATAAAAAAATTACAACTACACTCATGACTCACTACACAGTAAGAGTTGTTTCAATTGAAGTTAAATTTTGAACAAAGTAGGCCTATTTGTGAAGTTTTGGAAATAGTACACATGGGGTCAGCGTGGTCTGGTCAGTAAAGCACTTAATTGTGTTCAGACATTTTCCCATCCTTCCAACATTAAACATTACCATTAAGAACCAACAAAGAAGGAAGTACACCTAAGCCTAAATAAATATATATTAAATATATTAAAATAGTCTGGGCCTAACTAAGCTTGTGCTGCAAAATGCCAATGACCAATCGTCCAAAATAAACAAATTTAACAAAAACACAAACAACAGTGATACCGGCTGGGAAAAAACTCAACTACAAGTTTAACTGTCTGTGTAGAAGTACAAGAAAGAACAGAATTCAGAACAGAAAAAGTGAGAAAGTCGGGTGGTTGAGCTGAGAAATGGGATCATGGACATGGAGCAGTAACGAAATTCAAAGAAAGGATCAGAGATGACGATCATCACGAAAATTAAATTAATCACGATGTTGATGGCGACGGTGTCAGGTTGGAAAAGGAGAAAAAGAGAATTACTGAACATGATTATCAAAACACTTATAGATCTAGATCTATGTTTGAGCTTTTAATTCAATTAAATGTCATTCCATTTACCATTATTTACCAGAAGCGGAATGTATAATGTCTTTTTAAAAATACACTTAGCAACATCAACAACTCAAAACTTACCATTTTCGTTTTCAATTGTAATGCTTCCGCTCATGCGCATTAGCTTATTTCAGTTGCTAAATTAAAAACTGGGATAATAAAGCTTTAATAACAAAACAACGATGTTTTTTTAAAGTAGGACAACGTTTTAAAAATGACGATATTTCTGAGGCCACATATTAATTTAGTGGCTAATAGTTATTTAAATACATTGTATGGACCCTTTCATACATACTAGAACTGACACTTTTATGTGTAGAATATAATCTCCACACTGGCCTATCTGAGTACATAGATGAAAACAGTAAAAATGCCGTACGGCTGTTCCGTCAATTGGAATATAGATCTAAGGACCAACGTACTAATATTGTAAAATGTACTCAAAACGGCGACATTAAACATATGTTTTCATAAATGACTGTTATTTCTAGATGTAGCTTTAATAACCTATTGCACGTTCACTTTTTAAATGCTACAAAACTATCTTTAACGGGGAGGATATCCAGCTAGTGTATCGGCTAGGTGCGCGCATCGCGGAGTTGCGCTGCATGTTTTGGTTAGTCCCCTAGTTCAACACACACGTAGAGAACATAGGGTGCGAAGTTAACTTCAGAAAGTTTAGTGTGGGGGAAAGTGCTAAAGTTTTCACTATAAGGATTGTTTTTAAAATGTGTTCGCTAAAATGAGTGTTCGATATTGGATTACAGGTCTGTTGATATTGATAGTGCAAAAAGTTTTATGATAAGTTTTAGTGAATGTTTACCTCAAAATTTTAGTAAGGTGTGTAGCCTGCCTTACCCACTGTAGCGTCGTTTACGGTATAAGGTAGACCAAGGTATATTATCTCCCCCCTCTTTTTTTACCTGTAATTTTCAGCTAGGTTGAAGTATTAAAAAAAAATTGAGGCTACAAAAGTTTACTTATTGATTTTGATATTTAGGCCTACTGATTCATTTTTTAAAGAAGCAGAAGTTGGTAGGCATTTTAAAATGTCTAGAGTATCCCAGTCCTAATAATATTCTTAGTAGGCCTATAAAGGCCTATATCTAGATCTATATCTAGGCCTATTTACTTTTCATTTTTTTAATAATAAGACATTTTTTTTTGGGCCAGATCAAGCTTAGGATCTACTTATTGAAAAAACAGCCTAGATCTAGAATCTAGGCATTACATTATTATTAGTAATATCATAAGTTTAATTATTAATTAGGCCTATTCTTAATTTATTCATTAGGGCCTAATTTTTATTAAAAACTTTTCGGCCTAATAAAAAGAACTGTTTAGGCCCTACTAAATCCCCAAAGAAATATTAGACCTAACTAAATGTTGAGTTCTTTCATTTGTCGTATTTCCATCTGCTTTGAAACAGAAGTCTCTTAAAAGGTATTGGGCTATTTATATTTACATTTCCGTAAAACATTTAGCCTTATGTTCAGCCATTGACGTGTTTTAATAAGTATTCACCCCCCCCCCCCCCCCCACAACTTGGAGGCTGAAAAGCCATTATCGCTGGCTTGAAAGTTGAGAGGTTATGACAATGAGTGCCTGCTGAGTCGAGAATGAGATAACTTGATGGTGGAGCCATTGACGGTTACAACCTTTTTGTACGGTTGGTAAGGTTTTTGCCCATAGATACTACTAGCATTTCCTCCCCACCCTCCCACCCAGATCCGCCTATGAGTGGACCACAGCCGTGCTGTATCTGTCATTGTTTATTTAGGCCGATTATCTTTCGCCCTAACCAGCGGCGTCACCAGGTCGGGTGTCACCCAGTGCCTGTAACTGAGGGGGTCACCCCCACCAGCTATTTAGCATTTTTGATTTTGTGTCACCCTTCCTCCTCTTAACTTTTTTTTTTCTTTACAATTTTTACGTATTTGGTGTCACCCCACCTCCCCCCTTAATGGTGACGCTGCTGACCCACACTTCTAAGCTACACAATACGACATATATTTATGTATAATAATACGCAGGGACTAATAAACCTTAATGTGTAGGCCTAAGTTATGTTCAGTTGTTTCGTGTAGTTCCAGACATGTAACATATAGAGAGAGCCTCGAAACCATTTTATTCATCTGCGTTCACTCAATTATTTTTTGAGTACCAGATTCTACTAACGGAAAGTAAAAAACATGGACCACACATCCCTCTCATGTACGAGGTGATAAGAAACGGATGAATTATTCTTCATCTTTTTTATGTGTGGATGACAAGGCCTGAAAGAGTCCTTTTTCCTGTCATTTAATTTCTCTACACGAAAATCTTATTGATAGACTAAACCTAGTGGTGTTAAGAAACGGTCAGAAGCGCATGCTGCATATAAAATGAAGAGGCTCTTGTAAGAATTGGTTACGCTAAACTGCTGAAACGTGAAGATGCTCCTTGTTTAAAGACAGGTACATCCATTTATATCATTAAGGGAACTCTTGTTTGCCCGTGTCCCGGATTATACCCCAGGACCTGCATAACCGTATGCGTATACATTTCCTACTTGTATTTGTAAAAAAAAAAGTATTTTTATGTAACTTTTTTGTGTTTTTTAAACCCGCAAAAAACGAGAAGCATAAAGAATATTTACAGAGATGAAAATAGCTCTGTTAGGTTGTCTTAATCGTAGGGGAATTTAGCTGAGGAAAAATTCTTTTGATGCTTGGTTTAATTTTTCTTCGAGAGTGTGTATGTGTGCATTAAAAAATCCAATTTATTGTTTAAAAGTCAATTAAGTATACAACCTGGTTAGGTACTTGCAAGGTTTTCCCTTTTCTACACACTACACACCATCCTTTGTAATTATTACTCAGCACGTTTAATTCACTGCATGTGTATATTTTTCTAAAGACAAAAAAAAAAAATCCCTTTGCCAATTTTTTCAGTATTGTGAGCCTAGTCCGTTGGATAAGTTGTCTTCTCAAATGGTGTGTTTAAATCACTTGGGTTACTCCGTAACCTTACAGATTAAGTGCTAATCCTTTAACAATAAAACAACAACAGATACTGGATTTATACCTTCTGTGTTCACAATATGCAAGGAATATACGGATTACTAGTCTTGTGGCTGACTGTGAGAACTTTCGGTAAGTAATCATTTATTTTTTTTATTTTTAATGGTTTTGTTTTTAGTTTAAGATTAGGTTAAAGGTCGTCGTTGAAGATTTGATAATCTTCGTCACAAAAAATAAATAAAAGCAACTGCCAAGCGTTCTTCTCCCCCCCCCCCCGTCCCTCCCCACATACACTTTTCTAACATAAAGCAACAGTTTCCATTCTTTCTGTACCATGATCGGAGTTTATTTTGTTTGCTACTTGAAAACCTCACATTAGAGGTCATCCATAAATAACATCATGCTTTTTTGGGCGATGTTTTATTTACCTCCCCTCCGTCACACGTCGTCACAAAAATCCCGACCCCCCCCCCTAAAATGACGTCACCAATCAGCCTACAACCCCCCTCAAAACTGCAGTTGAATTTTTCTTAAAACATCGATATTTTTCCAAAATCTTGTCTGAACTCTGTCAACATAGAGAATTTTAATAGTTCCTATTACAATTTATTAAAACAGTTTTCTAAAACGCGATATAAAGGCTAAAACTCGTTTTCTAACATTGCTTTTTTAAAATGCAAAAGTGTGACGTTACACCATCTGAACCCCTCTCCCTCACCACACACCGTCACAAAAATACGGACCCCCCTCTCTTACGAGTGTGACGTCGTTTATAGACCGATCCCTTATTAGTTTTACTGTTCGACTACGATGATCATAGTACCTTCTGACTCACCGACTCCAGTACCAACAACTTAATGGCAAAACACTGGCCATTTAACGACAAACTTTTTTTTTTAAATCAACATCTTTTTTTCACGCCAAGATTTTCACAATTTGTAAAAAGACAACACAATAAATCCCCAGAACATTTGGAGTGATTCACCCTGTTTAAAGAGATTTTCAGGGAGGACAAATGTATCCTAGTTCCCAAGGTTTAAGCAAGTGTTATTGCTATTATGGCTGTCACTCTTCGGCCATGTCATAACGTGCGAGCGTCTTAAAAGTCATGTGACAACAATCAGTGTAAATGATATCAGCTTGAAATAAACAAAAAAAAACATTTCACCAACTCTACGGCCAATGTATTACATAAAAGAAAAAAATGCTCTATTCCCCCTTGTGTAATATTGTCCCATGATCCGTTTTAATTGCGAGTTTAAAGTAGTTATCTGTTAGCTTTGTCACTAAACGGTAATTAGTAGTTATTGATTAAAAGTAAGGCCCTGTGTTGATTAAAAGCCATTTAGCTTGGCTGAACTGAAAGCCATTTGAACTGAATTTAAAGCAATGCAGCGTAGTAGTATTATAAGCCATTCAACTTAGTTTTACTGAAAGCCATTTATTGTGGCTGAACTGAAAGCCATTTAGCCTAGTTTTACTGTGAGCCATTTAGCTCAGTTTTACTGAAAGCCATTTATTGTGGCTGAACTACAAGGAATTTAGACCGGTTTTACTGAAAGCCATTTAGCACAGTTTTATTGTTAGCCATTCAGAATAGTTTAACCATAGGCCATTTAGCCCAGTTTTACTGAAAGCCACTTAACGCGGCTGGACTGAAAGCCATTTAGCATGTACAGTGTACGACAGTGTACGTCCAGGGATTACCGTCTGCACCAGAGAGCTGAGGGCCGGTGCCGGCTATCTCGGCCAGATTGCGCCGGTCTGACCTGTCAAACAACCAGATTCAGGGATTACCGCCCTTGTACTAAAAGGTTAACGACGAGTTTCCTCCCCCTTGTATATAAATAATAGAACGATGGCGCCCTCCATCCCTGCCCCTGCGTGTGTGGGGCATAAGCCCAAACATAGGAAGTGAAGGCTAGTTAATTCTATGAATTTTGTTCTTTAAGTATCTGAAATCGTAGCTATTGCATGGAATGTTAGGAATAAAATATTTTGTTTGTAAAAGCTTAATCAATTAAACGAGTCCACAAAAAAATGTGTTATTATTGAATAATTAATGAGTTAATTAAGGGAGCGCGATTAGCTTCGCTGTACCACATACATGATGATACCTGCTTAGAAAAAAAACGTTGCTAGACTTGTCTTAAATCTTTTGTTTTCTGCAAGTCAACACTTTTCTTATCATTGTAAATATATCAGCCAATAATTGATTTATACCCTGTTGATTCGATTTTTTAAAAACATACCGTGCATTGCTTAGTATTATTTTGTTGTTGCTAAGAGTATGTATTTAGAGGGGAGGTAACGATTGCATTGCTCT